CGCTCCTTCCGAAGGTGAATGGTATGCATATTCCATCCCCTTGCGAGTATCCCCAGACTATTGATTTCTCACTGCCTGTTCCTTTATCAATGAGCCTTTGACAGATATTTTGTAACGCTATTATAGAGCATATTTATCTCGAAGAAAATTCTGACAGAGAACCTGGAATAATGCGTTTTGGGAAGTTAAGCATTTATGTGAAACACCTTTAAATAAAACTACTCACCTTCAAGCCAATTTTATCAATTAATGTTAGTTAAAATTGTTCTGTTATTAAAGTGCATAAGGTAAACGCACCATCAGTGAAGTGAATGTTCATAAGGTAGTAAAGAGCGAATGTCAAGATCATATCAGTAAGTGACTTGTCTAATTAGTTTAGTGGGACCGATTCCAGAAGGGATATTTATACTCATATCAGAGGTGCCTATCATATTTCTTTCCATCAATTGCTCCACTTTTTTCATCCAAACTTTTTAACTAACTGAGTAACGTGCTTGCTTACTTTATTAATTAAAGTAGATTGTGATGAAGATTTCTCACAAAACAGTCAATATGCAACATGGCGAGGGAAAAATCGAATTTGTGTGTTCAAAGCCTTCGTATGTATCGCATATAAGCATGAGATAAGAGAGACATGTAAGTAAGAGGACGTCGGCCATTTTCGTGCTTATATTAATGGTTCCCTTTCGTTCCAAGTAATACATTTGTGAACACTGTGAAACGCACAACTCCCAGTAAGGAAGAACGAAGAAATCTCATGCGTTCTTGAACCCAGTGGAAAGCGCACTCATCCTACTAACCGCTAGTGAGTAGAGAGGCCACTCCAACATTTCGTAATCGATAGCCCTTGGTCTGAAATGGGGGACCATTTTGTAATTTGGTGCGAAAGCATTGCGTCAGAGCCAAAAATGAGCTGTAAAATACATTAAGAAATACAGCATGTCCACTTGAAGCTGTTGCTATAGCTTAGCTAATTTTTGCAGCAGATATTTCTCTAAGAATTATACCATGTCGAATATTTGAGGAAGATTCGATTCCTTACTGTGTAATATCCTCTACAGGATCGTGGAATGTAATAAATATCTAGTCGATATATAATTGATAGAAGCTGAAAGTGCATTTGCAATGCGCCAATGCATTTTACTTTAGAAACGAAACACGCTACTGATTGTCACGCAATTTGAAAGACCTAAAGAGGGATCAATGTCATAATAGACTTTCCTATATCAAATTAAATAAAATTTCTTTCTTAAATTATGCTTTGCTTTCCAAAAAGAGTGTTTATGGATCTTGAATAGTCTGCTCTGCGGGTAAAAGTGTCTTGAAATAAAGGTGAACTAATTGAAAATTTAGTTTCAATCTACTTAATTTTATTTTACGCTGCTTATATTGAGTTATTATGAAAAGAGAAAATTACCTTTGCAAAGTACACTAATGTGAATACAGCTTTGTTTTAACTGAAAATAAATTGCAAGCGATAATCATTCGAGCGAAAGATTCTTAAACTAAATTGGCAACCTTCGGAACCGCATTATCTGTCTTAGTATCGATGGGAGCATATTCTTTCTTGTTGTTCAAACGCCAACTTAATTTCCCATTAACACAATTCAGATCCAAACTCCTGCCTAGATCTCTTGTTCCATCCACATTTGATTTAAGATCCAAACTTACCTGAACTTACTTGAGCAAGTGATCTAATAGTGAACAGCCTATATTAAATAATGGGATCAAACTCTTGGATGTGTGTTCTTACTTTTTCTGCAATTGCATCACCTACTTATACTTAATCAACACAATTTGTAACGAAACACTCCAAATATGGAAAGTCAATTTAAGTATTTGCAACAAACAAAGGAGACATGAAATTGAGAAGAGGAATAAAAATTGATAAACAAGTTTTTGTTTTCTGTGCACAATAAATCCAAATGTAGAAATAATGGAGTATAAAATAGACATAATCTTGAGAAGGACAGTTCGGATATCGTTCAATTTCTTAAATGGGCTAGTTTTATGATCTAAATAGCAACATTAAGAGGTGAATTTTTAAAATTTGATATAGTATTTTGATAGCAAGTGGAATTATGAGACTGGTGGAATAGCGATTGAATGTCTACTGGACAAATAGCAACCTCTTTCTAATCTCAATCTTATGACACTATTGAAGTGATAGTTAGGATATTTAAAAAAACATGAAAAATAGCCGACAACTATCCATTATTCTTGAACTAAATGATTCAATTCGAGCGGTCTCTGAACCGCAAACAAATCTTTATTTGTTGTGCTCAATAAAGCCAAATATAGAAATAATGGGGCATAAAATTGACATAATATTGAGATCTGAAATCGTTCCACATTTTACATGCAGTAGTTTTAATGAGCTAAATGGAAACCTAAATGATGCGATTTTTTTATATTTGTTAAGGTATATTGATCTAAAATGAAATTATGGGACTGATGGAATGGCTATTGAATATTTACTGAACAAATAGCAACCTCTTTTTAATCTCAATCTTTTGACAGTATTGAGGCGATAGTGAGATATTTGTGAGCACGGAGAACGGCTACCAAAAGTCCATTATAGTTGAACTTATTGGCTTATTTCATGAGGTCTCGGAATCTCGAAGAAGAACAAATCGTAACTTGTATCAAAAAATTATTCACTGACGGCATTGCGGTACAGGAATAGTGAAAATTTTGGCGCCATCAGGAAATTGATAAGATTTGGCTTAGTAAAGGATTTGGACTTTTTTTGTTGGGGCTAAACGCATGAAACTATGGGATAAAGGCATGCACTATAAATGGCATTGAGAGATGCCAATTAGACTAAATGAAACTCTGTGTTTCATCTATATGATTACATTTGTTAAGCTACTGTTGTCATATTAGAGGTGGTAGTAGTTCTTCCGTATATTTCATGTTAATAAAAAGGAAAACCAGTCATTTGTATCGATGCAAATAACACCAACGTATTTTTACTGATTTTAGACTGATTTAGTTCTTCCCTCTTAAGGCGCAGATAAATATAAGTGCAATTCCTCTTTAAATTATTTGCTACTTTTGATTTAAAATGTAATTGAGTTGCTTGGGGCGATTTTAGAGAATGTGTCCTGTATAGAGAGTGGTTTGTATGAAATTGCTTATAAAATGAGGATAGTTAACTGAGTGCTGTACGATTATTGGTTGAGATATGCATCGAGTACACACTCTCGACAATTTTTAATGGATCGAGATTCTTTTGGAACTCGTCATACTAGTCCCTGTTCTATATTTATTTCAAATGGTAGGTTTTATGATATTTATCATTAGCCCTTAAACTTTGACTTCAGCTTCCCCCAAGGGTGGTGGGCACATTTATAGCAGTTAATTAATAGCAATTCATTAGCTGTCTTCTTGTTTCCCAGTACCTCTGGCTTTCCGTCGTTGTCTTTAGGGCTGGACACGAATCAGGGGGCTCTTCTCCATTTCCTCCTGTAGATTACATAGAGGGCATGATGTATACTCCTAATCTGTGAAGGTGCTTCGCCAGATTTCCTCCTGTAGGTTACATAGAGGGCATGTGGGTTGATCGCTAGACACCGAATCAGGTGGGTCTTCTCCATTTCCTCCTTTGAACACCGAATCAGGTGGGTCTTCTCCATTTTCTCCTGTAGAGAATCAGATGGGTCTTCTCCATTTCCTCCTGTAGGTTTCACATCAGGTGGGTCTTCTCCATTTCCTCCTGTAGGTTACAGATCAGATGGGTCTTCTCCATTTCCTCATGTAGGTTACATATGGTGGGTCTTCTCCGTTTCCTCCTGTAGGTCACATAGACAGGTGGGACTTCTCCATTTCCTCCTGTAGGTTACATAGAGTATATGTGTGCAATCTGTCCGTACGTAGTCTAAACTCAGCAACGGCTTCGATTCTTGGCCAACTACGTAGTCTAAACTCAGCAACAGATTCCATTCTTGGCCATGGTAGTCTAAACTCAGCAACGGCTTCGATTCTTGGTAACCGTGTCAGGTACGTAGTCTAAACTCAGCAATGGCTTCGATTCTTGGCTAGTCGGGTATGTCGGAGAGTGCCACTGTCCACTGTTTCTCTAGTACGTAGTCTAAACTCAGCAACGGCTTCGATTCTTGGCCAAGTAGTCTAAACTCAGCAACGGCTTCGATTCTTGGTAACCGTGTCACGGTACGTAGTCTAAACTCAGCAACGGCTTCGATTCTTGGCCAAAGTCTAAACTCAGCAACGGCTTCGATTCTTGGCCATTCGGCTATGTGGTAGAGTGCCACTCTAAACTCAGCAACGGCTTCGATTCTTGGCCAGTCGGGTATGTTGAGAGTGCCACTGTCCACTGTTTCTCCTTTGTTCGAGCTTCTAGCAACAGCTTCGATTCTTGACCAGTCGGCTATATCGGAGAGTGCCAGTGTCCACTGTTTCTTCTTTGTTCGAGCTTTGAGTTTGTTGCACCTTGAGGTATGAAATTCTCTTCTAATTATGGCCTTCATTGTGTGGAAAGACATCCCCGGGCCATGCATTGCAAAATCGTTGTCCCTTTCTTAGCAGGTGTGTCAGCAAGCTCATTGCCTTTAATGCCACAGTGGCCCGTAATCCATCGTAGGACCACTGTATTGTTTTTCTCTCTCAGCAGCTGATAGAGTTTTCTACTTTCCTTTATCTCAGCTGTTTTTAGTGGCCCTCTGTTTCCAATTGAGTTTATTGCTGACTGTGAGTCTGAAAGTTTCACCGCTTTGGTGAATTTTGTATCCAGGCAACATAACTGGCATATTGATATCCTAATGTTCGTATTTAGGCAACAGAATTGGCATAGTGCTATCCTAATGGCCTCTATTTCTCCTTCCGCGGATCTATTGTGTCCCGCTGCTGCGTAGAAAAAGAAGAATTCAGAATAGACACCTGCACCAATGTTTGCTTGGTTTTCTAGACACCTGCACCAATGTTTGCTTGATTTTCTATGTATGACTCACCTGCACCAACGTTTTTTCTAGACACCTGCACCAATGTTTGCTTGATTTTCTATGTATGACTCACCTGCACCTTTTGCTTGGTTTTCTATGTATGACCCATCAGTGAAGACTTCAGCCATTGATCTGCAGAATAGTTGACATTGATTGTCTCAATCCATTGATCTCCAGGATAGTTGGCATTGATTGTTTCAAGGTCCAGTGAGCACATTTGCTCTTGAGGAGTGTTTGATTCCATGAAGAAGTCAAGCAGTTGGGTGCAACACATTACATCAATGTCTGCTAATGGGTTCATGGAGAGAGAGGCTTTTTGGTTCGTCATCAATTTGTAATTCTATATCTATGGCTTTCTGTATTAGACCAGATTGGGTTTTCAGATGTCTTGGTCTATTTTCTTAGGTGATGAAGAACTTATCCATGGGAATGCGCAGTAGCTTTTCATACAGGTGAAAGGCCTTTTCTTTGATAAGGAAACATATTGTGGTCTTCCTGTAACTAGGAGCATTGCATCAATGGGTGTTGATTTTATCCCTCCAGTAACTAGTCGTAATGCTTGGTTGTGTGCTTTCTCGAGTGGTTTGAGAGTCACCTCTGTTGCTGTAATGAGTGGCTCAAAGCAATACAACATTATTGGCTGAATAAGCATCTTGTAAGTGGTGTTGAGAGTTGAGCACGCACAGCCCCATACGCTACCAGCAAGTCGCTTCAGTACATTCAGTCTATTGGAGACTCGTTCTGCTATGTTAGCAATGTGACTTTTCTACGTTAGCTTTGTGTAAAACGTCATTCCGAAATATGTGAAATCATTGGTTTTTCTAGGGTAGTACCCTTGTACCTAAGAAGCGGGTGTATTCTGTGATGGGCCAAAGAAAAAGTTTGGAATGCAGTTTTCGCGGTGTTGATTTCCTTGTATCTTAGAAGCGGGTTTATGCTGTGACGGGCCAAAACCTTAGAAGCGGGTTTATGCTCTGATGGGCCAAAGAAGAATGGAATGCAGTTTTTGCAGTGTTGATTACCATTCCATTGTCGTCGCACCAGTTTGCTAGTAGTTTAAGTGCACTATTAAGAGCGCAGTTTGCTAGTAGTTTAAGTGCACAATTTAGGACACTTTTCTGTCATCTATTGAGCGTTTTTCTTAGGAGCGGTATACCATAGAACAAGATCATCAGCATAGAGTAAGCACTTGATGCACGTGAAATCGATGAAGACATTGAAAAGAGTGCAGCTTGTGACAGCTCCCTGTCAACATTGAAAAGAGTGCAGGTTGTGACAGCTCCCTGTGGAAAAAAGAGTGCAGCTTGTGACAGCTCCCTGTGGAAGGCCTGTATGCAGCTTGTGACAGCTCCCTGTGGAAGGCCTGTTTGTAAGGCTGGGACAGCTCCCTGTGGAAGGCCTGTTTGTAAAAGATTGGATCCTCCCTGTGGAAGACCTGCGAGTGCAGCTTGTGACAGCTCCCTGTGGAAGGCCCGTTTGTAAAAGATTGGATTTTGATAGAGCATTTCCGTATCTGACTTTAATGATGGAGCATTTCCATATCTGACTTTACACGATCTTTGTTCATATGAATGCTTTCTCCAAGCTTAGCATGTTATGCTTAATACCCATCTTTGCCAATTTTAGAATTTGCTTCTCTTTCCACACTGAGTCATATGCTGATTTGAAATCGACGAAAACAGCAGTAAGAGTCATATGCTGATTTGAAATCGACGAAAACAGCAGTAAGGTTATTTCTTGCATCTCCTGTTAACCATTCTCCCCATATTTTTTAGCCAACACGATTGTGAGGTAGATATGCCTATAGTTGTCAAAGTTGCTATGGTCTTTGCCTTTTTTTAGTACTGGTATTACTATGGCAACTTTCCATTAGTTAGGTACAAGACTGGTCTTTCAGATTTTGTTGAAAAGCGTCAGCATGGTTTCTTTGGCTGTTGGTCTCATTCCAATTAGAAATTCCGGATGCATACCGTCTTTGCCAGGAAACCTTTTGCACTTGAGCTGTTTTATCGCAGCATTAAGTTTGCAAGGTCTGAATGGTTCAGTATGTACATTTATTTGTGAGTCCCTGTTCTAATATGAGCCAAACAGGAGCAATAAAAGGGTCCATTGACAGCGAAATTGCATTACAGCGAAAAGGTAAGAAGACATTAATAGAAAATGTGTACACCGTTTGAATCATGATTGCAATGTATCCCATATAGAGGCGAATTTCATAACGTCTCTAAGATGATAAAATATAGAAATATTATGTAGTAAATATATAGAAGATATAGACTGGTAGGAAGTAGTCATTCTACCACTTTGACCGCGTTCCCCCTCTCACTTCCAAGAGTCACAAACTTTAGCTAATCAGCAATGGCCTTACTGACCAAGCATTATCAACTACATTGTTGGTTAACATTCTGAACTGAACGCTTTCATGCTGAACACGCATACCAATCTTTTACTCCTTCTGAATTTGCCATCAAAATGACGATACAATTACACACAAGACAAAACATTCCAGAAACTTATCATCTTTTGCTAGAGGCATTGATTATCACTCTCAGTAAAGTTCAATGCATTCCTATTTTGTCAGAGAAAATATTCATGAGAAGAAGGGCATAAATACATTTCGAATGGGGCTTTTAGTTTCCCTAAATTATATAACAACACGATAGTTATTACATTCCAAGCTCTTGTAGCGGATATTACGCAGTAAGGAATCAAGGCATTCTCAAAACTTCGACATGACTTAATCTTTAGTAAAAATTGCGCTCAAAATCAGTTAAGCTAAAGCAACAGCTTCAAGGAGACATGCAGCGTTGCTTAAACGTTGTATTTCAATGCTCATGTTTGGGCCTGACGCAAGGTTCTTCCATCTAAATACAAAATGATCTCCCATTTCTGACCAAGGACTATCGGTTGCAATTTGTTGGAGTAGTGACTGTACGCACTAGCGGTTAGTAGGACAGATGCTCTTCCCACTGCTTTCGAGAACGCATGAGATTTCTATGTTCTTCCTAATTGGGGTTGTACGATTCGCAATGATCACAAATGTATTACTTGGAACGAAAGCGATCTTCAAATATTCGCACCAAAACAACAGACGTCCTCCTAACTATATGCCTCTCTTTTATTATGTTTTCCATTAAAACGGGTCTATCCCGCTGTCGAGAAGAAATCTTCATAGGTGCGGAACAGTATTGGCTTCATTTCCTTATTTTCATTTCATTTATGAACCAAACATTGCGATTTATTTTCTGCACCCCTACTCATTCCAATTCCCACCTTTACCCCTCACCCCCCCCCCCCCACCCATCTCCAGTTTTGGGGAATTTTTAAGAATAGCGGGGCACTGTGTTCATGCCCAATCGACATTTTAATTCATTCCAAAATTACACGAGAATGAGGCATAATTCAGGATTTACGGTTAATGGAGAACTAAATTCAATGGACTTAAATGAAAAACAAATGAAAGTGGATTATTATAAATTAGTTTGAGGGAATTAGAAATTTTACAACGAATATTGACGTATCTTAGACAAACGATCACAATAAGAGTTTCTTGAAAGGGTTTGTTTATTTAGCCTGTTAGGCTGTTGTTACTTTAGTCCATAACGATACCGCTGAGAGACAAGGAAGTGCAGTTCCCTACACTTGACATTGCTGCACAAAGGTTGACTAAGATCTGGAACGAGGGAACATAGATTTGCTGTTACGCATTGTCATGTGATGGTTCGAAACCGTCTCAGTATTGCTAATGTTTAACGACCATGCAACCATTGAAAATGGACATGTCCGACATGTTTGTAGCAATCCTTACCAATTTGTCTTGTGCTCTTACTCTCTCGAATCTGGTTATAAAAATTAATTTATTCAATTGGTTAGAAGTAGTTGAATGATTTTGCATCTGACGCTTGTACAATTATTTTCTGTTTATGATTCTTTCAATTTTTACTTCACTCTTTTACTTGTAATGATTTTAATTTATCAAATTTGATATTCCTTCGTCATCCTACGTCTTGGCTTTTTAGTGTCAACAATTATATTGACGCAAACAATTGTACTGCTTCGTCTCGAATTACTTGAATCATGCTATTAAGCAATTATGTACGACAGTAATTCATGTCAGAAAGCTAATTTAACCAGCTTCCAGAGCCTTGATTGCTTTTAGTTTGCAGTCCCTCCTCTCACCTAACCCACCCCCATCCCACAACGCCACGCCACCTCTATCTTTATTTCATAGTTTCTGCTACCTCAAATTACTGTTTCTCCATCGAGCTAAACTTCATAGAGCACTTAGAAGACTCGCTTTGATGCAGAGCATGAATAGAGATGGAGCACCACGAATGGGTATGTAAGTGAGGTCCTTCTCAAAATAGTTCCAATTCATTTCCATTATTTCAAGCACAATGCTGTTAATCAACAGAATGCACTTTAAGATCACTTGTCTATATAAGTTCAAGTCATTTGCAAAATGAAAATTCAAGCTCATTAGCATCGAGTAACAGTTAAATTTGAAATAGTTTCAAATGTCACAGATCTCAGGCATTTCTTGTAACAATAACACTGTCATTGCTTATCCACGTGAATGGCGTTGTTAGTCAAGATGTACAGACTCTCTAGTGACGCGAAAAGTACTATTGATCTTTAGGCGATTTGTTAAGCTCTTGAGTGCAATACAAACCTTTTTACCTGCAAGATCAATGGCTTTGGGACTCGAGGTAAGGATTAACCGATTTATGTAGGCGTTATCCATCAATCTAAAATAAATGAATAGCTATCAATTACATTTTATGCGATCAATATAAAGCATAATATTTATTTCTCATATGAGTGAAAGAAGAAAGTAAGAATTACCATGATTTATGGTCCACATAGTAAGTGAAATAAACATGTTTTAAACTTTGTTTTTAAAACATATAGACACTACCAATAAGCACTTACATTCTGGCTGCACAATGAATATTCTCCATCATGGAAGTTGATTAAAAATTGGGATATATTCAAACTGGTTGAGGTATATTTCAAAACGCGAAAATACAATGCCCCATTTTGACTTGTTCAATGGGCGTTGTTGATACACTATTATTTTATCATGAATTGGGCAATTCTTTCCTCAACTTTTAAACTTCCCTTCACTTCACTTCAGCTCAAGCAGAATACTATCAACTAACCCATTGAACCATGACCACGTTGGCATGCTTACATCGATGGACAGTGAATTCCAAATGAGGAGAGTTTTTTCACGGTGGTGGCAGAGGCAATAAAACAACTTTGAAACACTAGGGCAATACAAAATGCTGTGTCCCTGAAAAAAGGTTGACGCCAGACTAACAGCAGAAGGACTCTAGAAAGGAAAATATTAATTTTTGCCTGTCAGAATCATTTCCATTCGACACCAATTTTTCTTCTATAACAGCTGGGCTTAGACAGCGTAAATAAGAGTTGATAAAATGATCACGTTTGGATAAACGTGAATTGCCTTCTTTTCATTGTCGGCCAAATGAATATCTGGTCAATCGTGTGATATTGATGAATCCTGTATTCAATTTTCAATTAAAATCAATCCTAAAATATCATTTCTATTTTATTCTTAACATTAAAGATATCCATAACCATATTCACTCAATATTTACTTAATGTTAGGTCATTTGAGACATATTACATTGGCACAATTGTGAACAAGAGACTTACAGCTAAGGGCTCTCTTTAATGTACTTTATTTCGAATTGTTATATTTTTCCATTTCAACATGTAACGATTTATGATTATTTGCTCGAAATCAACTAAATAACAACTGATAACTATAATCAAGCCAAATATCTGCCGTGAATAATAAATAAATAAACATTATGTCTAGTTATTCCATCTCTTATAAATTTCGATTTGTCATAAAAGGTTAAAAACTATGTTATTTCGGTTCTCGTCTTCGGAATTCTATTTGATTCAGTGGCAACATTTGTCTTATACCTGCCTCAAAATACTCAACAAAATACCTGTCTTGAATGCACTTCAAGATTCCACCACAAAATCCAAATTAAGAACTTTTCATCAATTAATGAATTTATTTAGGACTACGTTAGGGTTGTTGGTAAATTTTTACGCGTAATAAGATGGAACTACAACGTTTGCAGAAATTCAACTAACTCAAATATGACACTGCACTCCAATTAAGATTTTATACTGTTTATGAAAGAGCGAAAGAAATTAGCAGAAATGGATCGTTATAAATGACAATATGCATCGCTACTCAAGTTTGTTAGGAAACGACCTCAAATTAGAAAAATGTATTAATTATTTCTGGCATGTCAGTTGGTGGCATTGAGTAAACGATTGTCATCGCAACAAATTCATTTTTTCAACCAAAAATCCAGTGACTTAAAATCCATAAGGATATTATTATGTCTATTATGATACAAGATCAGAGAAATCATTGGAAATAAGAGACATCAGCATGAGGGAGAGGATATGGAACAGAGCTTTGTGTCATGGTATTATATTTTCGAATTAGGGTGAA